TGGAAAAATTGCACCGCAGCATTGAACTGGCTCCCTCCTGGAGGCTCAGGACTGGGGGACTCTGCTCCACCTGCGCCCCTCTCACACCTGATGAGAAATGAAGAAACAGTCACAGGTGATGGTCACTGTAACACCTACAAAACCCAAGTAATACCCTTGTTGATTATGAGAAAGAAAGTCTGAAAGACTTGGGAGCTCCTTCCCTTCCTCCCTCAACAACACTGCAACTGCTAAATCCTTTCAGATTTCCCTCTGGGACAGCCCGACTCACAGCAAACCTGGGCGCACAAAAACCCCAGCACAGTGCCCAACAGCCTCTTCAGGACACTTTGCCTTGTTGCTTGGGACATTTTCACCATAAGATGTATTTAACTAAACCCTGGGGCGGCGAGTGTCATGACTTGGATCTGGAACTGTTCCTGTGTGTGCAACCAATCAGCCTCACCCACAAACCTGCTCAGGCCCAGACACCCTGTGAGGGGAAGCCCCACCCTCCAGTCTCAGCTGGAGGGGGTGGACTGAGAGGGGAAAAAGAAAGCTCAGTATTCTAGCACTGAGGGACATTTTCTGATAATCCTGGATGTGGTAAAAGAGTGTGAGAAGGAAAGGGAGAGGCCTCCTTAGGAGGGACACCTGCCTTGTCTGTGCTCATTACAGCCTGGGGAGGATCATAGAAACAACATCCACATTTTCAGATCCAAAAAACAGGCACATGTTCCGACAAAAGGATCTTTACTAACTTATGGATTAAGCGTATTAGTCATTCCAGTCATACAAAGTAATAAGAATATAAATGTTATGTATCATATATATACTTAACGAAGTTCTATTTTTGGAATATATGAAACGTATGGACTGGGACTCTCCTAGAATGACCAAGACTTGTGATAGATATTGTTATAAGAAATTAACCTAATTAGACTGTAAATTATGAGAAAAAAACAGGATCATTGAGACATTATTTTTACATGTTATCCTCGCTGCTGCAAGACATGTTTCGTTTTTCTAATTCTTCTCTGTGAAATCCTTCCTGTGGTTCACACTTGCAGTTCAGTTCATGTTTTTTCTTTCTAATTCCTCTGTTTTCATCTTTTCCTCTCAGTTTTCCCAACCACTACGTTTCTACTTTCATATTCTCCTTTTTTTCTTTAACTTCTTTCTCCTCTCTTTTTTGTTTTCTAGGTAGAGGAAAGGGACAGAAAGAATATTTTAAAAAAGGTGGCATTCATGGTTTAGCAATAATTTTGAACATGTGAAATAGAAGTTCATGTTTTCCCCGATATATAAAAATCTTTCACAATAAAAATGCAAAAAATCAGAAAAATCTGATTTCTATAGTTCAGAATTCTCCATTTTCCCTTTTGTTTTATATGACTCCGATCTAGGAGTCTTCTCTGCTAGATATGGATAAAGATAATGACCTAGATAAAGATAATGATGACAGGGTAATATAGAGGTATGTATTACAGCCATAAGCTTCTAGTACTTGATCAGGGAATAAAGCCGAGGTGATAATTGAAAGGAATATTCAGCAAGAAACATGTTTCCTATGGGCTGATAAGGGTTAGTTTTTCCTCACACATAGCTATTCTCCCCACCTTTACCATTACTAGCACCTATCTGCGCACTTAAAGAACTTCTCAAATCTTTCAACAATTACTCACAACCGGGTCTCTCAGGTAGTCCCCAGGTGTAAGAGAAGCCTATAGTACCACCTAATGGGCTAAAATCTTAAAAAAGGAACACTTGTCACTCTGCAGATATACACAGCTCAGACCAACTGGCTTTTCTAGGGCTGTACCTGTGCACTGACTTGAAGACACAGAGGTGTCCACAAGGATGGAGACTACCATGAAGAGCACCAGGAGTTCCACAGTGCTTTTTTAAGAAAATAAATTCCTTCATATAAAGTAATTTTATGTAATGATATGAAAACAATCCATTTAATTCTTACCTATGAACTTATAAAAAGTGAGCCCTCCGATGTGATACAGTTTAGCCAATATATTTAAGAGTGTTGTAGACCTAAGACAATTCAAAACTGAATTAGACGCTGTATCCTCCTTCAGAGAGCTTGTGATATAGTAGGGGAGACAAACACCTCTGTAAACGTAATAAAGGCTTAAAGGACGCCATAATAGGAGCATGCCATAAATACTGCATGAACACCAAGACAGGAACAAGTACTTCAAGCCTGTATTACAGGTGACAGCTCAATGGAAGGTGATACTGTATGCCTTCTGTGGAGGTGACAGGGAGGACAGTAACGAAGGCAAAGATGAGTGATCTTTGAAAGGTGACCTTTTATTTTAAATATAAAGAACAGAGAAGATGACCAAGTGTGTGGACAAGGACGCAGATCACAAAAGCGCACACACAAATAAATGTATTAAAGAACATGTGGTGTCTATGTCCCAGTAAATGGAACTTTTACATTATATTGATGTCATACTTGTATGTAGTAATTGGGTAAAAAAGAATTTACTGAGGTGAGATATACACTGTAGCAAAACAGAAAATGCTATGTCCTACACTCTCAACGAGTAGACACATCTGTCTTATCAAGTATTTTTGTTTGTGTTTGGAAAATATGGTCCCCATTTCCATGACAAATACCTGTATGTCTTCTGATAACAGCCACTGAAGCTCAGCTATGGCTCCTAGAAAAGCCAGGCTAAACCATCAGAGAGCATCTTAGCGACTTTATGTTTTAAGACCACAAAAGATTGTGAGTGAGTTATTTGGCTCCAATATGCATGTGTTTATAGACTCCTGTGATTGCCAATTGAATAAACCACAGCTGCTAATATTGCAGTAGATTCTTCTTCACCAAATGGAGACATCAACAATTATGAAGTCTAAGAATACAGTTGTATTCTGGGAAAAAAGAAGATAGACTTCTAGATGGTTCTATTAACTAGTTGTTAAGAATATTGGCCGTGCATCAGACAGATTTAGATCCCAGCCCAAGCTCTGCTCCTAACTGGTTATATAACTTTTATCAAATTACTTAACATCTCTAAATCTCAATTTTGTCATCTGTGAAATGAGAATTCGGTAGTAACTACCTAGAGAGGTGGGGAGGAATTTAAAGCACTCATCCCATTGCCCGTAAAATTAAGTGCAACAAATATTTGGAAACAAATAGAGTTCAGTGAGTGAATAAAATGATTTGTGAAAGAAGCATTATTTTAAGACTTGTATGATATTTTAATGCACTGTGTTCCAAAATCCTAAAGCAGGCTGTCATGTAAACTATATTCCCAACACTTATTAAAATGATGGGACGTCTGAGTAGGTGTTCAAAAAGGTTTCTTGAATGAATGTAAGTATAACTTGGAATAATATCTCACTTTGATATAAATCATTATTTTTAAGGGATATTTCTCATATATTAACTCATATCCATGAAGAAATTTTGGTACCAAATAAAGCAAAGAAAAACAAACAGAAACCTCTAACTCAAAATACATTAGAGTTTAAAATAACAGATCTCCTGTACATGAATGCCCATAGTAGCATTATTCATAATAGCTCAAAAGTGTAAAGAACTGAAATGCCCCTCAACTGATAAATGGATAAAGAAAATATGGGGTTTTATCCAATGGACTGTTACGTGGTCATGCAAAGTAGTGAAGTACTGACACAGGGATACACCTTGAAAAGATTATGCTATGTGAAATAAACCAGACACAAAAGGCCATATACTGTGTGATTCTATTTACACAAAACGTTCAGAATAGAGAAATCCACAGAGACAGAAAGTAGATTAGTGGTTGCCAGTAGCTGAGGGATAGGGGAAGGGGGGTGACTCTAATGGGTGCAGGGGTTCTTTGTGGGTGGTGATCTGGAACCAGATAGTGGTGATGATTGTACAACTTTGTGAATATACTAAAAACCACTGAATCGTACACTTAAAAGGCTGAAGTTTATGATATGTGAAGTATCTCGATAAAGCTGTTATTGAAGAATGCTAGAGCTCAAAATACTCCAGTAGAGTTCAAGTGCTGGAGTGGAAAGGAGGACTGGGGGTTTTAGAGCCTGCCAGGGTGAGGACAAGCTAACCATTCCAATATTTCAGTCTTGAGGAAGATGGTCTCTATGGGATCCAGAAGCGGATTTACCGTGAAGCACATCAGGCTTATATTTCGGGACCCCTTATCATCCTGGGCCCCAGAAACTTGTATTTTTTATTTTATTTCTTTTTATTAAAGAGAGCCTAAGGAATCGAAGAAAACTCAGGCCCGGTAAAACCTGCATTTGTACCGTCAATCCCACAGCATCATGAAAGATGGATAAAGGACAAACAGGGATCATAGAATTCCAGAATATTCGTAAAGTTTCTCTTGGTGAGCGACATCGCCTGAGGGTTTCATTGGGAGATGCATGTTTCTTTGTTTGGTGCTTCTTCGGTGTGGAAAAACTTGGGATTATTTTAACCATTTGGGGTCCTAGTGAACAAGAGTCCACGCATATCCCTCCCTCTTTATAAACAGACACCTGAGTGTTTCCTTGGCTGCTGAATTAGACACACTTCAGAAGGATCACAGGCATAAAGGCAATGATAAAATAACTTGTCTGGTTACATAGTCACAGTCATGTCCAGCATCCAGAATTCCTCATAGCACAGAGCCTCAAGTCCAGAATCCAGATCATTATATGGTGTCACAATAAAGAGCTGCCGTGATGACAGGAAGAAGCGTGGATGTGTGTCAGTACAGTGTGAGCAAGACACGCCATGGACGCAGCTGTTACTGACTGGGCTGTTCTGAAACCAGTGCCCTTGACATAAGGGAAACCTCATCAGGAAGCTCTCATAGAACTTACTCAGGCAGCAGTGTTTCTAAAGAGACCGCTAGGGAAGGAAAGTCAAGCAAAGAGAGACTAAACGTCCCAGTGACTGGAGATGGGTTTTCTGCAGTGAAACTCAGCAAGACATACGATCCTGGCCTGAATTGTAAAAACAAGAGATGAGCTTCAAGGTCACACATTAGTCCATGAACTGTTTGCTCTGGGAATTTTTATTAATAGGTGGTGAAATATTTGAACATATACGAACTGAACTGTCGTGAAGCAGAGTTAATGTCACTTTCCAGAAATTATAGACCATCTAGGTGAAAGAGGCTGGGCTGAAAACAGAGGCGTTTCTGGAGAACAGGCTTAGTTTCCCCTTTACACTGACCCTCCCCTAATTCCTCTCTGCAGACTCATCCAAGAATTCCAAGGCTCCTTGGCTCTGAGGCATCAGAGCTGGAAGCACTTTGAGGAAGCCTCCAGAACAGGAAGGGTGCCAGGGCTGCCACAGCCAGACCCACCTGCACCCTCTGGGTTTGTGCTCAGCTCCCCTTGAGTCCCTCTCACTGTGTCTCTCAGAGCGCAGTAGTACACGGCTGAGTCTGACATTTGCACTGAGGGTTTCTGCAGGTGGAAGGAGCTGTCACTCGTAACAAGCTTGGTGTGAAAACCTCTGTTATCCACCTCCTGGTTTTCTGATGAGCTTTTCAGGAGGAGCTCAGGCTCTTTGTTTTGATACTGGACATACCAGAAGAGGGAAACTGAATAGATGCTCTGGTAGGTGCAGTTCAGGGTCAGACGAGTCCCCTCCAGGAGAACAATAGGGCCTTCTGTCTGGGTCACTGAGTCTCCATTGGTCCCTCCTAAAAAGAGTAAAGGTTTTGTTACGTTGGCAATGCAAGAGGGTAGTCTCCAGTGTGGTAGGGGTTGAAAGTCATCCTCAAACCAAGGAATAGAACACTTCAGAAAATCTGAATAAATGTTACTTACTCAATATCAACAAGAGCACAAGTCCCGAGCAGGAAGCAGACAGCATGGCTGGGGGAGAAACAGCAGCAGGTTTTGTTTGGGAATACACCAAAGATGAGAGGGCTGTTCCTCTATTTTCTTGATCCTTGGGTGGAATGTTCTAGAAAATTTTGTCTCGTGTGTGAAGCAAGACAACCTGCCCTGCAAGATCCTGCCACTGGCTGTAAAATGAGAGAGATGCTCACAAATGGAAGATGAATGTGTATTAAACCACCACCCAAAGGGAGCAGCGCCCTCTTGTTGTTCCCCCTGTGTCCCTGCAGCCTGCTTTACTTCCTTGTATTTGACATTTACCCTGGAATGGAGCTTTAGTTGTAGACCTAGAAAGGAGATAGGTGTCTGGGGTGAGCGGTAGGACTCCAGGAAGGGAGCACCAAACACTTTCTGCAGACTTCACAGTGGTGCCTGAGGCTTAGACCAGGGGTAATTCCTCTGTCACCCTCTTTAAGATGCAGGGCAATGTGGCTCTCTTTAGTCTCCCTAGTCCCAGCTTCTAATGTCTGTTCACACTGAGTATTAAGCTGGTTTTAGGCATCTTAGTGTATAAGGAGAGTGTAAAAATTAGCATGATCTGAATTCTCTTCTTGACATATTCCCCCACTGGTGCCCTGGAACCAGGGGATGAGCCCCTCTGCTTAGAATGTTCTCTCTTCTCTCCCCTACCTTTGCTTAGATAACTTCTTTTCATTCTTTAAGAACCAATTTACATGCCACCTCCTTGTGAAGGCACTCACCCAGCTCTCATGGCTGAGTCTGCCCGTCTCCTTCCCCACTATACCTTGTACACACGTCTATCACTGTCATTACTGCATCATATCAGAACCATCCGTGTCCTCTTTTCCAAACTGGACTTGGTGCTCCTGAGATCAGGCACTTAGTCTTATTAGTCTCAGTAACCAATTTTCCAAAATATACAGGCCTGTAGTTTATAGTAGATACTCAAAAATTATCTGAAGAATAAGTGAAAAAAATGAATGAGTAGACAATTCTGGTGGGTACAATTATCTTTTTATGAAGTAGAGTCTCTTTGAGAGCATATGTCTTAGACCCTGGTATGACTACTTCTTCCAGAGTCAGATCCAGGACCTGGATAACAGGCATATTGATTGTTTCTGAAAATTGAGAAGATACAGGTCTTCAAATAAGGGACCACACTCATATTGACTATTTTAAAAATATTATGATGCCTTAATATACACAAAAAATGAAGTTAAGTATAAACTTCTTGGGCTCACAGTTCTTACATAATTACCAAACCAAACAAAAAATGCAAACAAAATATAGAATTCAAATTAAACTATTAATAAGAAGGATGATCTTTAGCTGAAACTAAAGAGTTGGTATAGGCTTATTAGAGGAAAGCTACAGATGTGTGTAGTTCTATAACTCCCTTCGTTGAAATGATTTGGAGCTTAATGTACTATTATCCGAATTATTGTGACTGGTGATTTCTGGTGACTGGTGAAGGTCTGTCATTTGGAAACTTGGCCCAATACAACCTTTCCTCGACCTCCCCCATCTTTTGCAATAAACATGCACATAAATACAAATGCCCTCATTTTCTCTATAAACACTTTTTCAGTAGTATCAAAACTGCATTAAGAAAATTATATTCAGCATTTGTTTATGTTACCAAGAGTAAGAATAAATGGAGAGAAAATTGCTAGGTATTTTATAATAGGAGTACCCACTTTAACGAACAATATTTCAGGACCAGGTAGTGGAGAACATACATCTTTCACTGGGATGGGGAATAATTATGACTTTCTTATAAAATTTCCATTTTACTAATGGAGAAATTGAGCCTTGGAAATCACACAACTTGAAAATGGCAGATCAAATTTGTCTACATCACTGTAAAGATTCAGATCCTTGTCTCTATCAACACACAACGTACCTACACCTCAGCTTCAAATGAAAAGTTTGCTTGAAAGAGTCCTAAGATCCTTTCTAACTCTAATGGTGATGACTCTACTGTTTCTTATACAGCAATGAGAGGAATGTCAAAGTCATCTCATGCATCTCCAAGACCCACCAAAGTCTTGAGAGGGCTGCACATAGAACAGATGATACCTCTAGTACTGAGAAGTCCTTACTCACCCTCCACAAGTTTCCAGAGACTACGTTTTTCCAGATAAAATTAGAGCCTGAAGAGTTCTTTGGGCTCACCAGTCCAAATCCTTTATTTCACGTGAGGAAATCGAAGGCTGTTACGTTGATGATGTGCCTAAGGCCACATAGCCAGGATTGGCAGAACGGAACCTGGCATTTCAGTTTCCCATTCTGAATCTCATGCCCTTTTCCCTAGTCCAAAGTGCTTCAAAAAATATCATGATGTGAGAGGGCCTCCCTTTCATGTTGCCAGCTATTTGTAGACTCTCCTTCGTGGGAAGGCGTAACCACCAACTCCACCCACTGGTGGGGCTCCTAAGAGGCAGCTCTGGCAGAGTTTGTGTAGGGGTTGCAGGTGCCTGGTGAACACTGTGCCTCCACAGCACAGAAGTAAGTAGCAGTGTCTGCAGCCTGGGAAGCCATGATGGACAGGGAGCTGCTTTTGCTGGAGGAGTCAAGCGTGACTTATAGTCTTCCACTAGCTGCGTATTTCTCATTTGACCGTATTAAAATCAGTCGTGCAAGGCCTCTACCTGCACCTTGTCTATACCACTGTAAATTATCTATACTAATTTTATAACTGCAGTTCACGGTGGCATTTTCACCCTCCTGGACACTCAGGGCCTGAAGATTCTGTTCTTCTTGTTGGCTGTTCACCCCTAGGCAGAAACACAGGACAGAGACAAGAAGTCAGTCATTGCATTTCCACGCTCTAGTGTTTACATTTCCGTCCATAATATTCTGCTACGTTTCCAAGTTAACAAGGAGACTTTTTCCCTTAGTCTTGTGGGCTCTGAACTTCGGTCACCCTGTTCCCATCACCAAGAGCCTCAACTCACTGGCCAGTTGAAGCCATAGAATCACCAAAGACACTCCCAGGAGTTTCTCCATTCTTCTTCCTTATTGGGATCACAGAAGACTCAGCTCTGGGGCCTGAAATGGAGTCAGCTTCCTCAGTCTACAGAGTTAGCTCTCTTTACAGGGTATATTTTTCTAGTCCCTCTGGATCCCAGAGAGTCTCAGGTTTCTCACCTAACCAATCAGAGGCAAGATCAATCCTTTGCTTTCAATGCACACGTGTTGATTTCAAACCCAGTGAGTCTGAGGAGAGAGAGGCACTGCCATCTTGTGGTGGCATCATTCTGCTGATAGAATGTGCTCTGAAAGGTGAAGTGTGTACCAGGCGGATTCAGAAGTTACAAAGCTCTTCTACTCTCTGCCTTCATTGAACTCCTGTTCCATCCTACAGTAAGAATAGATGCAGGTTAATTTAAGGTAAGAACTCAGTTAAGAAGAACATTGGGGCCTAGTATTCCTAGAATACCTCTGAGAAGCACTGTTAGGTTTCTTGCAATCACCTCTAATAATGTATCTATGAGCTTCCTTTTTTTTCTAATTTACCTAATGCTGGAGTGAGATTGCACGTATGTCAGAGTTCTTATTGGTGAGCAACAAGAACTGACTCTGGCTGAGTTAAGTCGAAAAGGAGTAAGTTAATTAATATTGGGTTTGCCTCAGAACCTCCAATAGGATGAGAGGCTATATGAGTGTATTCATTCGCTAGGGCTGCCATAACAAAATGCCACAGACTGGGTGGCTTAAACAAAAGAAACTTATTTTCTCACAATTTTGGAGGCTAGATGTCCAAGATCAAGGTGTCAGCAGGTTTTATTTCTTCTGAGAGCTCTCCCTGTGGCTTTCAGACAACAACCTTCCTGCTGTGTCCTCACATGGTTATCCCTCTGTGTGTGTATTGCGTGTAACCTAATTTCATCCAGTCAGACTGGATTAGGATCCACCCTAACAACCCCATTTTAACTTAACTACCTCTCTAAAGGCCCTATCCCTGAATACAGCCACAATCTGATGTACTGGGATTTAGGACTTCAATATATGAATTTTGGGGTGGGACACAATTCATCCCATAACAATGAGTCCCTGATATTTTCAGTGTCTATGGCAGGAGACAGTAGGGTACAGGAGAACAGACTTTGCAGTCAAGCCCTCGAGGTCGAGTTTAGATGTATTCATTCAGTATCTGTTTACATCCTCTGTGCCTGTATTCTCTTGGATGACAAGTAATGATAATACTACCTTTTTAGACTTGTTGGAGTTGTTGATAAGACAAGAAAATGCTATTTAGAGCAGGGACTGACACTTACTAATGACTCGAAAATTATTATTGTTACAAGAAAACATGTCCTGATACTGAGCAGTCAAAAGTATGTTAAACATCCTCTAGGGTGTTTTATAAATGTTTTCAAAAATTTATTTTAAGGGGCAAGCCTGGTGGTGCAGTGGTTAAGCTCGCATGTTCCACTTTGGCTGCCTGGAGTTCGCCGGTTTGGATCCCGGGTGCAGACCTGCACACAACTTGTCAAGCCATGTTGTCGCAGGCATCCTACATATAAAGTAGAGGAATCTGGGCATGGATGTTAGCTCAGGGCCAGTCTTCCTTAGCAAAAAAAAAGGAGGAGGATTGACAGCAGATGTTAGTTCCGGGATAATCGTCCTAAAAAAATTTGATTTTAAGATATTCTGTGCATAAAATAGAGTAAATGATGGGGAAGAGGGGAAGGAAGGATGAAACTTTTGTTTCTTCCTTGATGAAAGGAAGAAGGGAATAGATTGTTGGCTGGAGCAATGCATGGATTGGAGAGTGCTAGATGAATCAAGAAAATGGCTTGGGTTGGATGACTGCCAGAATAAATATAGATGTTTGTCAGTAGAAAACAAAGAAATATTAAAGCTTTGTGAGCAAGAAACTGATGTTATTTAAGAAGTTTAAATTTTATTCTATCTGTTCTCTGCTACACAGTTTTGAAAAGTTTGTGACAAAATTAGAATAGTAGTTAAAAGATGTCCCCTTGTTCTAAGAACTTAAGGGACTTATCCACTGTCTCACAAAAAAAAGGATAAGAATCTAAGTCTCGTAATATTTGTATGTATTTGGATGTATATGCAAACTATACACCTTGAAGCAGAAAAAGAAACAGAAGCATTGCTGTCCTCTGGGGAGGAGAACTGTGAGGTTAGCTAAGTGGGGTGAAAGGATAACTTTTCACTGTAGCTTTTGAATTTTAAATCATGAGAATTCATTTTCATTCAAAAATGAAATAAATAGGGACTGGCCTGGTGGCGTAGTGGTTAAGTTTGCGCTTTCTGCTTCAATGGCCCAGGGTTTACAGGTTCAGATCCCTGGTGTGGACCTACACACTGCTCATCAAGCCATGCTGTGGCAGAGTCCCACATACAAAGTGAAGGAAGATTGGTGTAGATGTTGGCTCAGTGAAAATCTTCCTCAAGCAAAAAAGAGGAAGATTGGCAACAGATGTTAGCTCAGGGTCAATCTCCTTCTCACAAAAATAAATAAATTAATTAATTAAAATAAATAAATAAATATAACAAATATGCTTTGTTCAGGAACTCAAAGACTCAAAGATGGGTCAACATTAGAATACCATTAATGTAATTCTTCAATTTGAAAAAAAAATCCATATAACCTTGCAAGATAACAAAAATAGTAAACTTCAAAATATATTCATCATATTGTCTACATTAATTAAAAATAAAATATCTAATCCTGATATGAAGTAAAGCCTATCCGTCCAAAACACTATCAGCAAATGTTAATACTTGATAGTCAAAAACAAATTTCATTTATTTTACTGTTAAGACAAAGGATAAGATTACTCAGAAGTATTCATTAAACAATTTCTCAGAAATAACTTGTAACAGCATAACATTAAAGAAAAATTCTATTTATAATACCAAAAAAATAAATGTCCATGAAGAAATTTAAGCAAATTAGGAAAACTAAAAAGCTTTTATAAAAAATCTAAAACAAAGAGAAAATGTGTATTTTTAGACATATTTGAATTAATATGTTAAATTGTTCAATTAATATGTTAAATATGTTCAATATATTTAACATATAAAGTTTACACTGCCTGAAAAATAATTTTTAAATTTAATACAATACTAACCAGAAAAAGAAAGAATTTTAAGACTAAAGCAGATTCAAGAAGCTTATCTTTCATATAGCCTTTGAAAAAATATAAACTGGAGATGTAGAATTTTTTCCTTTCTATATGATTTTGAGAATTACTCTCTTTGTATATAGGATTCATAAACGTTAACAGCACATAGCTATGTGTTGCTGTGGTCCCCCACCTCCAATCCAACTAGATAGTTGGTCAGCCCTTCAGTTTGAGACTCAATTTCTTTAATCCCAAATAAGTGGTAAAGTCTTATAAGCTTCAAGTTAGACAAAGACAAAGAAAATTACCTACCAGAGAGAGAATCAGGTTAATTTCCACTGAAATAGTATATGCTGGGAACAGCACTTCTCAAAATGTGTGTCTGTGGATCTCAAATGCATATCTTGGGGATCACCTGAGGATCCCAAGATTCTTTCAGGTGGTCTGCAAAGTAAAAACTACTTTTAACAATAACATTAAAGATATCATTGGGGGTTTTTCACTGTAATGGATTTACACTAGATGGTGCCAATGAAAATTGCTGGACACTTTAACACAAGTCAAATCAATGATATCAAAATATGCTAGCAGTCATTGTATGTATTCATCACCACCACATAGTTGCTAAAGAAAAAAACGTTTTACTTAGGAATGCCCTTGTTGAAGAAGTAAAAAAATAATTAAATCTAGACCCTTGTATATACACGTTTTTAATGTTCTGTGTGGTGAAATAGGCAGTACACACACAGCACGTCTGCAGTATACTAAGCACCATAGTTGTCTCAAGGAAAACAATTGTTACTTTTTACGTTTATTCTTAGATGGATTTATTTAACATTCCTTTACTTAGTAGATATTGTGTGCTGAACATTGCGTTAGAAGGTTAGATGAAAACTGAAGAGAACACAGTGGTTCTTCTCTGGAGCCTTTAACCCAATAGGAAGTAAAGGCAAGACAAAGTTTTAATGCATTGTGATAAGAGTCTGGCTGAAAATAAACACATAGCACAGTTGTTAGAAAGGGAGAGTGAGGGTGTAGCTCCAGAAGTCATGAGATGCTTAAAATATAATAAGCCACGTCAGCTGGAAATTGAACAATCAATAAGCATAATGAAAAACACCACAACAATTCAAGGACTTGTCACCTCACAGACGTTTCTAGGGGTTCAATGGTCCAGAGAATGTTGAAAAATCTCCTCTAAGGTGAAAGACATGTGGATGGACTTCATGCCACCAACCACTGAAAAAGAGGCACAACACTTGGTCCCACAT